GTAATTTTGTTAAGATAAATGGTGCTTGTTAATGTAGGGCAATTATATAGAGACGCTTCAATAAAAGAGTTTTGAAGCATTGATCAGACCATTACATCTAAATTTTATATTCTTTTTATTAGTTTAGAGCAATTGCTTGTAACTTAAGATTATCTTTATTTTTGATAAATCATTTTCATGTTTTCGTTCCAACCCTAAACATTAAATGATAATTGTGTTATAATGTCTAAGTAATTATTCCCCATATTAGACTGATCATATATTTTTTAAAAATGTAAGGAAAAATATATCCATTTTATAAAAAATAAATAAATAAGTGTAAAAATAGGTTAGTAATTAACAATTATTTAATCTTACTCTAAATAATTAATTTCAGTAACACAGAAAATTTAAAATAAATATAGTCAAAATCTTTAATAATAATTATGTGGCTTATTGTATTAAGTTCTTCAGGGTAATATGAAATAAAGTTTTTCATTGAAGCCTATCAACTTGAATATTAAAGAGTTCCTGTTTCTAATGGTTTAATTTTTTCTCTGATGAACCCTCAGTAATGCTAGAATATGTTATGAAACATTAAAAAAAACTGAAAAATGATAACCAAATAACTTGGTAGAAAATTATCGAAATAAAGATCGATTCATATTAAATAATGATCAATTATAATGTTTATTGATTATTATTATTTTTTAATATTTTTAATATTATAATTTTCTTGATATAGTCGAAAACAATCTCAGTCATAATTTACCGTGAGTTGCAAAATTCAATTTTATTTTGCCTTTCTAAAAGTCAAGTCGCTTTATTTAAAAGCAAACTTGAGTTAAACTTTGTTTATTCATTTTTATTTAAAATATTTTAACTTCTGATTTTTGTACTCTTTTTTCTATGCAATTTGATTGAAGTAAATTTTTTTTGAGGATACTTAGTTAATCTCAAATATGTATTTCTATTTTGTGTTTTTTCATTATTATTTTCCAAAATACCTTGAAAAAGTACGCAACTGCCAGAAACTTGCCATACAAGGCCCATCTTTATATTTGTATTAAACAAGTGAAAAAAAAATTTGAATTAGAATTTAAAGTTGGCTAAGGAAAAAATCAACACAGAAGATCAAAATACTGATGGAAAAAGTATTGTAGCAAAGGAATCAATACTTAGATTAAAAAATGCTAAAAACAATATTTAGTAATCACAAATAAACATAAAAGAAAATAGCAAAAGCATGAATTAAATAAACTTAGGTTAATTTTGATAATTTAAGCAATTTTTAGCTTAAATGAGCTTTTTGCAAGCATGTTTATTCTTTGGTGAATCTTAATTAAATTTCCCAACTTATTCCTTCGTTCTGCTAGAATATCTCATTTTTTTGTCTCCTCCTATAGACGAATCTAATTAAAAAATCAAGATTATTTGATATAACTTTAAATATGATCATCTTGTGTAAGATTTGATTAATTCTACACTTTGAGGTTTTTGAACAAAGAATGATTCAGATCTCTTGTTTTAAGAACATTTTTTATCAGGTAGTTTCAATCAGCTAAACCATTAGCCATAAAGTTTCCTCTTTATTTTATGATCTAAGGATTTATCCTATTTTAATTTTTTTATTTTCGAGCTAAAAATTTTTTCTTAGGAACTCTGAGCTAATATTATGCTGTTAGACCTGAAGAATGAATCGCAGTCAAATATTATCCTGCTAAGATTAATCCATATTACATAGATTTAACAGAACTAGTTTCATAATTTGCTTGTTAAATGGAAATCAAAAAGAATTATCGATATTTATTCAATTAATTTTAAAATGCAATCGAAAAATTATATTGAAAATAAAATTCTATTACACCCAATCAAATTGAAAGCAATTTTTCCCAATCTAAAGTTCAAAATTATATATAGATTAACACGAACAAATTAATTGTTCTTTAAATACAAATTATAACTAGATTTTTTCATTAATTGGAAATAAATTTGAATTGAATTTTTATTATTGGATGATGATATGAGTTTTAGAATATACAATCTTATAATATGCAAATAATACTATTTTTTCAAAATTTTATCTAAATTAAACTCCAGCTTCTTCTTCTCTGGAATAATATTATTTGTTTTAGCAGACCTTAAACTTAAACTACATTTTCCAGACATACATACAATAAAGACTGTCATAAATTTTATTAAACATATATGTGTATGAAAAAGGTTTTTGACCAAAATAAAACGGCAAATGTAGGAATTGATTACTTTACTTTAATTGATACACATAAAATTATACAGCAAAAATTATAAATAAAAAGAGATGAAAAGTTAAGAAAAAAATTAACGAAACCAAGAGAACTAACATATTTTAATCTTAATTAACTTTCAAGCTAAAGAAAATTGCATCAGAATTTGCTTCAGAATTAGGGAATTCTATAAATAAGCAATTTTATCAAAATATTTAGTAATTTAAGTTTGAATGGCTAATTTCTATAACAGCAGTTTGAGTTAATTTTAAGTCTCAACCTAATCCTCTTTAGACAGAGGATTTGAATTTCAAAATAACTAATTACTCTTCTCAGTTAAAATTAAAAATTAGCCTATATTGATGAATGTAGCTTTGGTAGAAACTTAAAAGTTGGACGAAGCTGGATAGAAAGAATAGCTATCGATTGCTCAAAATAAAATCGAACTCATCAAAAAGTAAATATGTAATAGGTGATGTCGTTTGTGGTGCGTTTATTGGTTATAATGTATTATCTGAAATGTAAATCAATAGGTATTTGGAGAATTTTATGGCTGCTTTAGCAAAATAATGAAGAAAATAATTTTTGCTTAGTACTGGAGGATGCTTCCATTCGTCGGACATAATTTCTGAATCAATTATGATTTGTTAATCATTTACTTCTTCCTCCATATAGCCCTTTACTTAACTGCATCGAAAGGCTGTGTGGAATTCCTAAGCGATAGTTCTCCAAAATGAATTTTGCAACAACTGCTTAAGAATTTCATAATTTTTATGTTGTGCTTAACTCTATTACATCAACTAAAATTCAAAACATCTGCACTTCTAACCTATAATTGGTATAAGCTTGCTTTTAAGGAAAATAATTCTGATGTTATTATATTCAATTAAAATTTATATCAGGTTTATTAAAGAAATGAGTTCCTTTCGAATAATGACAGTATAGCAACTGCAGGCTATTAGTCTTGAATAAACTAACACTTTAAAACAGATTTTAGTCGAAGCAGAGTTTGATATTTGGGGACAGTAAGGGATCTAAATCACTTGCTCCCTAATCTTTCCAGTAAACTCTCAATTTAATTAGCCTTTCATTTTTTAATAATGTTTTTTTATTATAAATAATTGATTATTGGTTTGCGTTATTAATGAGTGATTAATAATCAATTCTATTTTTTCTAAAATTCTATTTAGCTTTCCAAAATGAAACTTCCTTTAGATTTGAAAAATGATCTTAAGTCGTTTCCAAATTCGTTTGTAAATTCTCCTTTAAGTATTAAAGCTCCTTATGCTTACAACTTTGGTGATATGGATATTTCTAGAATTGTTATATAAGTGTTTACTAATAAATTATAAATAAAATTATTACTTTCGGTATAAAGAGGTTGATTAAATTATGCTAGAATATTATTGTAACTTATTTGATAGGGGTCAAGTTCTTTATATGGTTGAATATCCCAGAAAAAGATAGATTTATCATAACTACCAGATGCTAACATCAAACCATCAGAAGAGAAACATACTGAGTTGACAAAATGAGCATGGCCATCATATTTGACTATTTACTATCCTGAATGTATATCCCATAAACGGATAGACTAATCACAACATCCAGATGCTAATGTAGTACCATCAGGAGAGAAACATATTGAGTTGACATAATGAGTATGACCTTCAAATTTGGCTTTTTATTATCTTGTCTTAATATCCCATAAACGGATAGATTAATCACAGCTTCCAGATGCTAATGTAGAACCATCAGGAGAGAAGCACACTGAATATACAGCACTAGTATGACCATTCAATAAGAAAATTTATTATCCAGTTTTCACATCCCACAAACGGATAGATTTATCATAACTACCAGAGGCTATTGTAGAACCATCAGGAGAGAAGCATACTGAATATACAGTACTATCATGACCATCCATTTTTGCTTTCTATTAGCTTGTTTAAACATTCCATAATCGAATAGACTTATCATCACTACCGGATACTAATGTAGTACCATCAGGAGAGAAGCAAACTGATTATAGGTAATCACTATGACCATTCAATTAGACAATTTATTATCCAGTTTTCACATCCCACAAACGGATAGATTTATCATAACTACCAGAGGCTATTGTAGAACCATCAGGAGAGAAGCATACTGAATATACAGCACTAGTATGACCATCCAATTTGGCTCTCTATTTTCTTGTTTTAACATCCCATAAACGTATTGAAGTATCACTACTAGCAGATGCTAATATAGAAGCATCAGGGGAGAAACATACTGAATTAATAAAATGACTATGGCCATCTAATTTTGCTCTTTATTAAACTTTTTTAACATTCCATAAACGTATAGATTTATCACCACTGCCAGATGCTATTTTAGTACCATCAGGAGAGAAGCATACTGATTGAACAGCATGAGTATGACCATCCAATTTGGCTCTCTATTATCTTGTTTAAACATCCCATAAACGTATAGATTTATCCCTACTACAAGAGACTATTGTAGAACCATCAGGAGAGAAGCATACTGATTGAACAGCATTAGTATGACCATCCAATTTAGCTTTCTATTAGCTTGTTTTAACATCCCATAAACGTATTGAAGTATCATTACTACTAGATGCTAATATAGAAAAATCAGGGGAGAAAGATACGGATAAAACAGCTCCGCCATGGCCATAAATTTTTTTTTTTACTATCCTGCTTTAACGTTCCATATAATTATCTACTAATCATAACTACCAGAAGCTAAAGTAGCACCATCAGGGGAGAAAGATAAGGATAAAACAGCATCGCCATGGCCATAAAATTTTTTTTCTTACTATCCTGCTTTAACGTTCCATATAATTATCTACTAATCATAACCACCAGAAGCTAAAGTAGCGCCATCAACAGAAAAACATACACATAAAACTGTTCCTTTGTGACCATAAAATTTTCTTTTTTAGTATCCTATTTTAACATCCCATAAACCTATCGATTAATCACTACTTCCAGATGCTAATGTAGAACCATCAGGAGAGTAGCATATTGAGTTTACTATACATTCATGACCACACAATTTCATTTGTTATTATCCAGTTTTTACATCCCACAAACGGATAGACTTATCATAACTTCCAGATGCTATTGTAGAACCATCAGGTGAATAACATAATGATTTGACTAAATGATTATGACCATCTAATTTGCTTAATTATTACTCTGTATCAACATCCCATAAATTTATAGAACAATCACCACATCCATATTAATTGTAGAAGATATTGTATTATCCATAAATATCAACTAGTTCGCAATTACTATAACCACAACCAGTTGCTAATTTAGTGCAATCAGGAGAGAAGCATACTGCATTGACATCACTTTTAAACCCTGAAATGATTGCTTTTTATTATCCTGTTTTAGTATCCCAGAATCGGACAGATTTATCGCTACTCCCAGATGCTAAATTGCCATCAAGAGAAAAACAGACTGACAAGACAAAACTAGTATGACAATCTAATTTGATTTATTACTATCCTGTTTTAATATCCCATAGGAGGATAGACTTATCTGCACTACCTGACGCTAAAATAGTACTATCAGGAGAGAAGCAAATAGTATTAACATTCGATCTATGCCCTTTTAAAATATTTATATTATATCCTGTCTTAACATTCCATAATAGGATTAAACCTTCTTTACCACCAGATGCTAATAAAGTGCAATCAGGAGAGATGCATATTGTTTCAACACTCTTAGAATGTCCATTTAATTTTAATTTTTTTTTCCTAGTTTTGACATACCATAAACGAATAGAACAATCAGCACTACCAGATGCTAATATTGAACCTTCAGATGAGAAACATACTGATTAGACAGCCTTTGTGTGACCATCTAATTTTGCTTTTTATTATCCTGTTTTTACATCCCATAAAATGATAGACTTATCTTCAGTACCAGATGCTAATGTAGTACCATCAGGAGATATACAGACTGACCAGACAGCCTCAATATTTTTATCTAATTTGGCTTTTTATTATCCTGTCTAAACATCCCATAAAATGATAGACCTATCCCAACTACCAGATCCTAACGTTCTACCATCTGGAGAGAAACATACTGATTGGACACTACGAGTATGACCATCTAATTTATTAAATAAATTTCCTGTTTTAATATTATTCCATTTACAATTTATAAGTTAAGCTCCATTTAAATTTATTCCATTAATATCTACATTAAAAAATTATGATCCACTTAAATTACATCCCACAAAATTAGCTCCTACTAAAGAAATATTCTAAATTTTTATATTCTCAAAACTGTTGTTTGTCAGGTCAACCTTCATGTCTACTAATAAATTTAATGAATTTGACCCACATTATATAAAAGTATTATCAATAGACGTGAGGTGTACTAAAAATTTTAAAAACTCAACGATCTACCTTTTGTAATTTATATATATAATTAAATCTTGCTTATTTTTTTTATTTTTATAGTTGGAAAAGTCTATCTTATTAAATTCATGATCTTTTATTTTCTTTAAGACATAAGTAAGTTGTTTAATGTTATTATTAACATCATAAAACTTGTATTCCTTATCAACGTTTATTAAATCCATTCCTTGTTAAATATACGATTCAAATTTTCTTTGATTTCCATTATCTGAAAGATAATCTATACAGTCTTAAACATTTTCTTTCTGAAAAATTTATATTATAAATCTAAATATATGTTCATCTTAATCTTCAACTAAAGTAAAAATGTCAGACAGATTTTCATTCTGTTTGAAGGTGCAATTCATTTTTTTTTTTTTATTTTTGAATTTCTATTAATTTACTCAAAGCTTTATACTAAAATCCAAAAAAGTATCTTATTTATTTTTTTATATAGGAACGCCATACATAGCGTAGGTTTGAAGTCTATTTTAATCGTTGTTGCATTGCATAATGAGAAACTATTTCAGTATTTACATCACTTAATTCTTGAAGAATATGGAATATTATTATGAATGATTTTATTACATATCATAATTTAATTTGAGTTCTATATTTACTGCAGCTTTTTCTTCATTCTACAAATTATACTATATTTACAGGATGGTAATTATTATTACCTTCTAAAAACTGTCTAACTTGTATTTATAATATTGATTCCAAAACTCTATAATGTTAAATTTGGATTAATCACTATGCCTCAGATAATGGAGAGTGGCTTCTTTGAGGTAATTATTGCAGCATTTTATTACAATATTATGATGATAATATTAATAGATTATTTAAAATTTTATCAATACATAGATGAATCAAAATTTTTTTCTCTTTTGAAGGGATTAATTGTTTAAGTAAATACCATAAAACATCTGTGATTAAATTATTTAGGCCTTGTCTTATGATAAGTTAATTATCACTCTTGCTAATTTTTATTATAACAATCAAATAATCCAAGTTTCTTATCAGCCTATTAGTCTATTGTATTCATTGGCCTCATAAATTATTCAATTTAGCGAATATAGCCCTAGATTAATTGAAAACTGTGCTACATGTTTAAGGGAGAGTATTAAAATGGTCAATTGTTCATATTAGGCTTGAATCTAATGCAGAAATAATATCAGGTAAATGTTATTAATGTTGATTTGAATTACATTGCTTTAATTTTTGTCAACAGCAAAATTATGAAAGAATTTTTAAAAAATGCAAATCCTACCATTAGACTAAGTTGCAATTAATTTGACAATAATCATCCGTTTAAAATCAATGCATAAAGAAAAGAGAAAATTGATTATGAAATTTTTTGTGTTATATGCATAAAAGGATATAAATTAATGGATTAAAGGTTCATAAAAACCTGTCCTAACTTATTTTTAGAGTGTAATATATTAATGGCTAGTATTAATGTTAAAGATGTGAAATGGATTCAAAACTTAGAAAATTTACTTTATGTGATAATCAATATAGGGTTTTATCATAATCATCAATCTATTTATGTATAAAATAACAATACAATTTATACCGTTGGATCTCCAGAGTAAGGATTATTTATTGATTACTTTTTATAATTTAATTGCATTGGTTTTATTTTATCTCATAAATTTATATTTGAAATCTAATATGAAAGGATGATTTGGTAGAGAATTTTTTCATTTTTTATATATTTATTTTAATACTTAATTTTTATTGAATTAAAACTATTATATCATATTCTTTTTGCTCTGTTATTATTTTACAGTCAAATTTAAGTGTTCAACTTTTAATCGAAGTGCCATTAGAATAACTCTCATAATTATGTATCTATTTACAGCTAAATTTGATTGGAGGATTTGTTCAACTAATATCATATTGAGAGATCTCAGGTTATAAATGGATTTAATCAAAAGTTTCCTTAAGATTTGATACTTTTGATCCTTAAAAATAGAGGCATCCACTTTTTCTGCCTGTGCTTGTGATGCTTGCAATTATCATTTCAATCTCCTTTTTTTAGTTTTTATAATAAATCTCACTAGTTAAATGTCAAAAAGTTAAAAGTTTTATGGTGTAATATTTATAATGAGTACACTAAAACTTCTAATTTAGGGAAGTGAATCATAAAAAGGATTAATGATCATCTTTTTGACATATAATTAGGATTGTATAATTAAAAAAGAAACCCTTATTTCACTAATTTTAGGCGTGTACTTGGAATTAAGTTTAAAATATAGTAGAGTGTTTGAAGGTGAAGATATCTAAATCTGGATAAACTTAGGTAAGTTATTAGATATAATTTCCCTTTTCTAAATTATATTGCATTTATGAGAAGAATACTAGCTGACTGCTCTAAACAGAATAATCGAGTTTCTCTTTTGTAATAATAAACAAAATTTTTTACTTTTTTAAGGTAAATAAATAATAATTTTAAAAATTACTTATTGCAAATTGGCAGATAAAAATACATGAAAAAAATATCGTCATATAAGTCTGAGAAGTCCCGTCCTAGCTAAAGAATCATCATATTAGATGGTTCCTTAAATTATTCTAAAAATAATTAAAAAAGTTTTGTTTTGGAAAAGTGTATAATATATATTTATGAAAAATTAGTTAATAGAATCGAGTTGACTAAATGGCTGAAATTTTTTACAATCAAATTTAAAGATCTTAAAAAGCAACTCCCAATTTATAAAGTGAAAAGTATATTAAGGATGAAAGCGAAGAGTGAATTGAAAAATCAATAAATACATAATTTATTTTATAATCATATTAATATTTTATTAAAATTTCAGTGCTATCTAAATCCTTAGTTATAATTGAATAAGAATTTGATAAACTGAATAGAATAGTGAATTCACTAGATTAATTTCATTGATAGCTTCTTAATTTATTAATAAATAAATTGATATTAATAGATAATCAACAATTACAGAAAATATTTAAATATGAAGAAAATTATAATATCTGTTTAAATTCTTAAAATGAGTATGATTTTTTTATTCGGTTCAAATTGCTGTTTAATTTGAGAAATAGTAATTGAATAATTAAGCATAATATTTAAAAAGAGGAAAAGACTTTATAGCCAAAATCAAAAGCTTTGTAAATTGAATTAATAATATAATATCCATTTTATATTGCGTCAATAAAATAAGCTGATATTATTGATTAAAAATTAACTTAAACTTTGGGATACTAATTTATCCATAAAAGTCTTTATAATAATATTGTGTGAATTTCCAATTAAAACATACCTTTTAATGAAAAATTTGTTTGGATTTTATGAAAACTCTTTGTATTTTGTTCAAAAATATTTATAAATAAATTCAAAAAAATGATATTATTTATATCATAAATATTTTTTGCTGGAGAGGAGTTAATTCAAATATTTACTTTTGAATTAAATTACTTTTTCTTTACAAATAGTTTTAATTTAAAATGTTAGAGTATCCTTGTTCTTTTGGGTTCAGATTTAATTGCATCAAATTTGAAATGATATTGAGGATTTTTTACATGAATATGATTAGGATTTTAAGAATTAGAAATATTTAAATTCAATCAAAAAAAAGTTAAAAAAAATAAAGGTCTAAATATTTTCAAATTTATAATAATCATTTTTGAGCTGAATTGATATCTTGATTCTCTTCACTTTTCAAAATAAAGCTTCCTTTTTGTTGAAATAATTTTCTGAGATTCATTCCAAGATGATTAGTAAACTCCCCATTCATTATTAAAGCACTTTGAGCAGTAAATTATTCATGTTTTGAAATTCGGATAAGGGTAACGATATCTTGAACTTAAAAAATAATTTTTATACTTGAATAGAATATTGGATTTTTTAATTTATTCAAAGTATTACACTATCGAATCTGTTATAAATGATTATCGGCTTGGGAGTAAATTTAATTACCTTATTAAATATTTTAAATATTGATTGAATTAAATTAACTATATTTAATGGATTTAGGTAAAAGGGCATCAGAAACTAAGCTTTATGGAAATATTTCTTTTTCTTATTAACAATTTATATTCCATATACAAATTGATTTATCGGCGCTTCCAGATACTAAAATAGAACTGTCAGGAGAAAAACATACTGATAAGACATAATCATTATGGCCTTGCAATATACACTTTCCTTCCCCCAATTTTACATCCCATAAACGAATAGTATTATCCCAACTACCAGAGGCTAATACAGTACCATCAGTAGAGAAGCATAGGGATGAAACTTATCCATTATGTCCTTTTAATATTTTAGTTTTTTCTCCTGATTTAACATCCCATAAATAAATGGATTTATCTTCACCACCAGAGGCTAATTTGATACCATCTGGAGAGAAGCATAATGAATAAATACTTCCATCATGTCCATTTATTATTTTTTTTTCTTTTCCAGACTCTATATCCCATAAACGGATAGATTCGTCTTCGCTACAGGATGCTAATGTAGCACTATTAGAAGAAAAACATACTTATCTCACATAATCGCTATGCCCTTATAATGTATACTTTATTGCTCCAGATCTAGCATCCCATATTATGATAAAAGTGTCTTCGCTACTGGATGCTAACAAATAACCATCAGGAGAAAAACATAATGATATGACATTATCATTATGCCCTTATAATATAGTCTTTTATTCTCCTGTTGTTATATCCCATATGCAGATAGTAGCATCTTTATTACCAGATGCTAATTGCGTTCCATCTGGGGTGAAACATATTGATGAGGCCTACCCAAGATGTCCTTTTAAAATTTTCTTCTCCTCTCCTGAATTTATATCCCATATACGGATTGATTCATCTTCACTGGTAGAGGCAAATGTAATTCCATCAGGAGATATGGATACTTAATTTACACTTCCATTATGTCCACCTTATAAGGTCTTTTCTTCTCCTGATTTTATATCCCATAATCGGATTGATTTATCCCAGCTACCAGTTGCCAATTAAACTCCATCAGGAGAAAATTAAACCGAAGAAACACCTGCATTGTGTCCTAATAAAATTTTGCTTTAATCTCCTGACTTTACATCCCATAATCGGATAGATTTATCAGAACTCCCTGATGCTAATTAAAGTCCGTCTGGAGAAAAGCTCAAAGAAGTAACAATTCCCTCATGTCCCTATAAAATTTTTGTAAAAGTTCCTAACTTTACATCAAAAAACTGGATAGATTTATCACAACTACCACATACTAGTATGGAACCATCTGGAGAGAAGGACAAAGAAATCAAGCCTCCATTTCTTTCAACATGAATTTTCTTTTTATCACCTGACCTTACACTCCATATAAATATAGATTTGTCTCTACTGCAAGAAGCTAATATTGTATCATCAGGAGAAAAGCATACTGATTAAATTCCTTCACTATGTCCTTGTAATATTTTGATTGATTCTCCAGTATTTACATTCCACAAACGGATGGATTTATCCCAACTACCTGATGCTAATAAACTAGCATTAGAAGAGAAAGATAAAGTTATAACTCCTCGATCATGTCCTAGTAAGGTTAGTATTTCTTATCCAGAATTAATATCCCATATACGGATAGAATTATCTTCACTACCAGATGCTAGGGTCAAACCATCAGAAGAGAAACTTACTGATTTAACTGAATCATTATGTCCATATAATTTATTCAATACTTCTCCTGACTTTACATCCCATAAATGAATAGTTTTATCGCTACTACCAGAAGCTATTATATTACCATCATAAGAATAGCATACTGAATTTACAGTTCCATTATGTCCTTCTATTTTATGTAACTCATTTATTTAAAGATTTTTCCATATACAATTAATTAATATAGCACAATTTAAATTGATTCCATGAATTTTGACATTTTCAAATTCAGATCCACTTAAATCGCATTATGAAAAGCTAGCTCCAATAAGAGAAGTATTTTTAATTCTAACATTTCTAAAAGATTATTATGTGAGATCAACTTTCATTTCAACCAAAATATTCAATGAATTAGATCCACCCTAAATTAATCCTTCGTCTATGGATGTAAGATGGACTATGAATTTCAAAAATTATATAATATTTTGATCTTTATATATTTTTTATATCAGAAATTTTCTACTTTCTTCATAAGTTTTGGTTGAATAATTGATAATATTAAAATCATGATTTCTTAATTTATAAACTAATTCAATAGTTTTCTTAACTTTTTCTTCAATAGCATTTTTCTCTTATTATTTTTAATAAGAAATAAGATTTTTCACGAAAAATATTTTTAAAAAGTGTTTTTCAGTTATCTACTTTATATAACATCCTAAACTCTCATTTTAATTTTATGAAAATTGTATTTCTAGTATTGTGCTATATATCCTTGCATCAAATTCTTTTGATTATAATAAAATCTCATACAAATCAGCTGCAATCAGAAATTCTTAAATAGATTTATGTACAAATTAAAAACTTGTACCCTTTTATTAAACCAAAGAACAACTTCGAATATCTTTTTTATATGAACCATTTTTACAATCATCATTAAAAAATTCATCTAGCCATTCTTCTTCTTTTTTTTCATCCTTATATATTAAACCCTATTATTTAAATTAGACTTAAGTCAATTCTTTTGCACTCATTTATTTTGCTAGCTTAATTGAATATTTTAATAAATCATGAAGAAACCTATCAGTATTAATAGATTTTCCTAAATTTCTTTATTTTTCAATCTATTTAAAATGATACTCATTTATAAATTCATAGTAAAAGTCATAACTAGTAAGATTTTATTCTTTTAACGAATAGCAAAATAATTCTATTATCCTTTCATTTTCAATTTCTAATTTCTTAATTGCTGTTTCTAGAAAACCTTCAGTTTATAAACCATTTTTATCTAAATTATTAGCTTCAAAAATTTTTGTAAGTTTTCTATTTAAATCATTTAAATCAGAAGATATTTAAAATTCTTTTAAAATTTAATTTTACTCAATCTTATTCCAAATTTCAGTAGCGTCTTTCTTATAATCGATTTAGTATAAAATTTGTTCAACTTCAATTAAAGCAAATTTTTTTTAAGTCTCTATATCTTATTTTTTTTTAGATTCAATATGTTCAATATCACTTTCGATTTATTCGATATTAAAATTATTATTTTGTTACTAGATAAAGTTCTTTTACTATTATTAATAAATTTTAATTAAATATTTGCTTTTAAAAACTTCTTTTAACATTTTTGAACAATTAATGATGAAAGTTTATCTCAGATTAAAAATCTCTGTTGCTTTCACTATCATTTAAGGTAATACAGAAACTATAATTTCCATCATATAAGGAGTTTCAACCAATTTGTCTAAATTAATCAACTTCATCATATTCTCATAATTTTAAATACTCCAAAGCTTTTATAAATTAATTTTAAGACTTCTAATAACTTCAATACTTATAGAGTTAAAGAGTTCATGATTTTACAAATACTATAGAATTTTTTCTATCTACTGTTAATTTAGTAGAGTTTCTGATTTCACTAATTATAAATTTTATTTCAACAATTACTAATATAATTTTTCCCAACACAATTCAAAATTCTAAACATCTATTGTCTATTAACCTTATACTTGTGCTTACCATTCATATATATCAAGAATTAGTAATTTTATACTTAGAAGAGTATACTTTTCTAAATATTCCTTTTATTAAACTTCATCAAATTTTAATAATTAAATCTCTTTAAACTTTTATTTATTTTCAGTTGCAAACCAATCAACATAATTATTAGTAGTAAAAATTTCACTTCTTGTTGTGAAAATCACAAGTGGATTTGACCAATTTTAGTTAACTTTATTTGTAATATATAAATTCTTTGAAATATTCTCCAATTTCATCTCATCATATCCATCCATAATAAGTAAAAATCTAAACTCATTCTTTTCCAATAACTCTTTACATTCCTTTATCTAAAGATTATCGAAGCCATAATCCTCTTAATGGAGTGCTTCTTCTAAAACTTAATAAACAGGATTTTTTAAGGATGGTAAAGAAATGTAAATAGGTATAAGCAATTTATTTCCTATTTTTATATTTTAATTATGCAACTTCCATATAAATTCTTCTATTTTCTTAGCTGTTGTACTTTTACCTGATCCAGCTACACCATGTATTAATAATACTATCTCTTTCTCATCAAATAAAAACTCATTTACTTCTCCTTATTTATCATTAAATTATTCTAAATTCATTAAATTACTTGTTTTATTTTTTCCTTTTCTTTAAGTTTTTAATGGAACATATAGAGATTTCACATTATTGATTGCTGCCTCTTTTAATACTTTCCATTTTCTAATTTCCAATAGTTATTGTACAGATTTTCCTCTAAGAAATTTTAAATCATTACCAATACAATTGAGTTAATCTTTCATTTATTTAATTTTGACTTCAACTTTTATTAATTCTTTTCTAATTTGATTTATAAAATCTATTGTGAGATTAAACTATTTCCCCATTTCACTTATATTCTATATATACTAATCTAATTGTTCATTTGTATCATTAAGTTCTTAGAGTTATTAATCTCTCTTGTTAGGATTAACTTCATGAGAAATAGAAATTTGTAAATTATCCATTTTATTAATCAATTATTACATTTCTTAGGCTATTTTAATTTCTTATATTTTCCAGTCTTTTTTGAATAAATTTATTTACATATTAATTAAATCTTAGTTCTTTAATTGTTTTCTTATTCTTTAATCTTTTTCTTATTTCCAGAGTTTAATAAGTGTAGACTAGCAATATGAATTAATTGAATCCATTGTAGTATTTGAAGAAACCTAAATTAATGTAAGCACTAAGCCTTATTTAATTTTCCATTCATCATTATTTTTAAAATCTTTATACTTTTGTTTCAAGGTATCAAATAAACCACATTTATGTTGACTAGGTTCTTCTTCAAAATCTTATTAGTCTTGGTTTAAATAGATTTTAGAAATTAATTGAATCAGATGTTCTTATTCCATTGATATATCTGAGGATTTATTATTTATTACGAGTTGTTTTTTTATACTTATTTTTAATTTCTAAAAAAAATCAAGAAGATATATTTTTTTAGAATTCCTTTTTTCAACAATATTATCGTTTAAAAGTACTTCCTATTATAGGGTAATTTATATTCTATCAAAGTATGTTTTAAAATTTTCATTTTCTTTTTGCTATAAGTCAATATTTGTTGATTGTGAGTTATCGAAATTCTTAATTAATGTATAAAAATATGAGTTAAAATGTTAATTGATTATTTCTTTAGTTTCTTCCTTCATTATAAGAGATTACTTCTAAAAATCTTAAATAACTTAAAGTAGTTGAATTAAAAACTGTTTTTCTTCTTAAATTTTTATTTATTAAAGTCTTATAATATTAGCAATTATTTATAAATTTACTCGACAATTTTCATTATTTTAAATATTTATCTTATTTCCTAGTTGATCATCAGAATCATTAACAATTTATTCTACATTTTAAATGACCTATATATTTTAATATTCTTAATGTATTAAATCATTTTATATAATTTATTCTTTTTCATTCTAAAAACTATCTTATTGACCTCTCTGTACATCACATTAGAGATTATTTTATTTTAATTGTTATTTTTCTTGTTCAGTACAATATTAATTAAATTCTCTTAATATATTTGTTAATTCTGTTAATTCTCCATTAATTGTTATTTTCAATATTTATTTAATATCATTATTTTCTATATATTAATTTAAAGGATTATTTAATACTTAAATAATTTTCTCTATTTATTTTATTAATTTCTTTAAGAATTCCTTACCAATCTTATCTTTATTTTAGTTCTTACTGAAATCTTTTATTTTTCTTAAATCAATTAATAAACCCTCAAGCTTTTCTTATTCAAACTTTAATTTTTATTAGCTTAAATTTTCTTAAGGATTTTATTTATCTGATTAAGAAAAATTGAGCTCTTCTATTATTTATAAAATTTTGTCAATAAATTCATGTTAGGGAATTTTTTCTTTAAATAATTCTCCAAATTCTTTCTCTATAAATTCCAACTCTAATTTTTCTGAATCATTTATTGATTCTTCTATTCTTAGTTAGAAAATGTTAAATTCTAATATTCCTTAATATTTTGATAATTTGTTTTAGAATTAAATTTTTGTTAACTCCATACTATTCAATTCTTATATAGTCTTTTTATAAACTTTAATATCGCTTTTTTTAGCTCTTATGGGATAATCTCTAATGATATCAAGTAAAAATTCATCCAAATTGATAATTTCTTTCAACTATTATAATTCTTATGTATACTATTAAGCTGATGATAAAATATTCTAAAAAGTATTCTTAAAAATCATTAATTTTAATTGTTCCTTTTACATTTAAAATCTTAATTTTTAAATACTATTAACTTTTTTTTCAGAAATATTTTCGGAAATCTGGAATTTTACTTGATTAGATAAAAAAGAAGCTTCTATTTCATACTTTATAATGATAATTTTCTTGAGAATTAAGATGATGTCATCAAATTCAGCACAAAATTATTCATATTCAAATTTGTAATATTGAATAAGATTTTTTATTGTTATCTGAAAATATAGGACTAAATTATCCTTTTAAATAAGTGAGTTTTCTACAATTTTCATTTATTTTTATGAATTTTCTAAAAATTTTAGTAAACTTAATGATTCTTTCTTTAATTTTTATTTATCTTGAAAAACTTTTGATAAAGTTAGAAGTTTTTAATAGAAGTTATTAACTATTTATTAAGTTTTTTATTAAAATTTAATTTTTGTTAATTTATATATTTCTTACTCAATTATTTCATTTTCTTTTAAAAAAATTTCATCAATTTCATTATTTGATTACTATAGTCCTGATTTTTCATTATTTCTTTCTTAAATTTCTTTAATATATTCTTGTTATAAATATTCTGTTAGTCTCATGAAATATGTTAATTATTAAATATATATCATCTCTTAATTTTTGATATTTTTATTTAAATTATTTTATATATTCTTTTCATTTAAATAAAGATTATAAATTTTCATTATATTAAGGACGTTTTGAAAATATTCTTATAGATAGCTAATGTTTGTTTAGATTTATTAAGAAAATGTTCTTTAAGTTATTTTAATATTTAAATTATATTTTTTCATCAAATTTTTCATATTCTTAAATAATATTGATAGATTTTCATAATTTTATCCAATTAATTTTAATAATTGATTTGATATTATGAAACTTAAAAACTTTTGAATTGTATTTACATTCAAAAAATCTTCATTGCTTTCACTGTTCTAATTCCCTAAATTTAATTTATTCTTTAAATATGATTCAAATGAAGGAAGATTATTTGATTATTTAATAATAGATTAATCATCCATTAAGTATTCTTTAAATAATATAAAGTTTTCCCACCCATAAAAACATTCTTATAATATTAATTTATCAGTTTGTTTTAATTTTTGGTTATTAAGTTAATTAAGTTATATAATTGCCCAATCCTTACTATTAATTACATTAATTAATATTTTTTAATTAATATAATCTTTCCAAATTTAATTTGAAGTCGATCCTAAGTATTAAAATTTTTAAGATAATAAATCTAATCTCTTTTAATTTATTTTAGGATTATAGACTAATATATTGCCTATCATTTAAATCCAACAATAATGATCATTCCAATTGTTTGAATTTTTTACTAATTTTTCATATATGGCTTCCATATGTGAAATTATTTCTTAAATATTTTATTATTTATTTTTCTTAAAGTAATTTATAAGTTCCCATTATAAAATATCTATTTGAAAATAAACTTCATATTATTTTCTTTTTTTATTTATATCATACATTTTGTATAGTAAACATGCACCTTTAAACAAAGATTCGAGTAAATCAGAATCTATACTAACTTTAATTAAAGATTATAATATTCCTTTTAAACATCCTTTTAAAATATCATTTTTCTCAACTTCATTATTTGGAGCCATCTCAAATGAAGATTTAGTTAAGAAAATATAATGTTCCATTTAATTTTAAATTAGATCATTCTTCTCTATATCAATTTATTATTTTATTTCATCACAAATGTCTATTAGTTCATGTTTCGTAACAAATTTCATATACCTTTATTCATTCATTAAATGGAAGCTAAAGATCACTTTTGATAGAGAAGTAGTAATCTATAAAATATAAAAGCACTTAAAACAATCTGTTCTTATATAAAATAGACAACTTTTAAGCAAATATGTTATTCCTTCTAAAATTAAATCATAGGATTTTTTAACATTGTAGATACTCTTGATAAGGTTATAAATACATTCTTCGTAATAAACAAACCATTGAATAGCTTTCATAATTTCGTTTGATTGTTATTCATTAGCAGCCAATTTGGCCTTAGAATATATTATATGAATGTTATTATTAAATCCAGAAAAAAATGTTATTCATCTTAATCATCATCAGCTTATGAGTTTTATGATTTAGAATGATCTAATTTATAAATTCCGCATCCTCCTCCTCTTAAATATGAATCTTATATCTTATTTTAGATAAACATTTTAATATTAAAAAAATAAACCACAAGCGGGATAAAAAGTAAACATTAAAAAGAGATGAAATTATACTCTATTTATAAAATAGTATTAATTGAATAATCTAAAAGTAATAAATTTTGAAAGATTAAGGATATCTTTCATTTTCTCATACTTCTTTATAATCTTAATATTTAATCTGAGCATGTTTATCCAAATCATGTAAATAGATAAAAGAAAGAAATTGTTTTCATTTTTTTGTTTGGAATTAATAGGTTTTTGAACTATAAATTCAATTGAAATAGCTGAGATTAATAAATATAACAAGATAACTTTAATTTTAGTGAATATAATTTTATGAAAATTTTGTTAGAAAGAACTTTATAAAATGAATTAGAATATTAACATGTTCTTAATAATAATTTAATCCTTCTTCTATTTCTAATTTATATTTGCAGTTATTAATGTCTGAAATGTTGTTTTGAAAAAATCATAAACTAACTCATCCTCATTGTACCATGTAAATCTCTGCATTCTACAAAAACCAAATATTTTTAGCATAATTATTCTATTTCTTTGAAATCAAGAATAGGTTGAATTATTGTTTCTTTCTTTAAAATGACAATAAAATTAATTTCAAAAGAATCCTATATCAAAGGCTGATTTTAATCTTTTCACAATCAATATGATATTTTAACCAATAATCTTTACAAATTATTCTTTGCCATAAGCATGATTTTCATTATTTTACCCTTCTTTAGGAATATTAAATATCATAAAGAAACAAACATTTCATTTTTTTTTTAATGACTCATTATAAAATTTCATTTATAGAAATTCTTCTTCTTCATAATCATAAAATATGTAACTTTTTGATCCATAAAAAATTAAGTATATCTTTCTATTTATCATAAATTTTTGTAATTAAACTTTTAATCGGATAATTTTTTAGTATTAAAGTTGATTAAAAATGTTTGATTCCTTAAATTTTTTTAACCACTTTGTTATCATTATGTTATATTTTAATTGATAAACATCAAGCATAAATCTAAAAACCTAATTGTTAAAATATAGTTATAACTTTTTTAACTTTTCATTACGAATCACAAGCTAATAAAAAATTTTATAGTCTTTATAAAATACTGATGAAAATTGTATTTATACCTTTTGAGACTTAAATTATTCTAATATTATGAGTTATATTTTTATCATTTTTATAAGTTTTATAATTTATCAATGTTATTTGATGTTATAAAATTATGAATTAGTTAAATTGCACAAAATGTAAATTTTTTTAATTTTTCTTCCTTTTCAAATACCTTATGTAGAAATTTTATATTATTTATTTAAAAAAGTTATTTTAAATAAATTAAATCTTAATTACTCAAGATTATGCTAATATCATTATTGGATAATTAAATATTTAAGCATAGTCATTTATATACAAATATTCTCCACTGATATTGGTTAATTGACAGTAAGGGTATTTAACAGTTATTCTGTTGTTTTTCTTCTAATTCTCTAATAAGCTTTTGCAAAATGTAGATTTATTTTATGAGAAAAAAACCATTTATTATTATTTTATTTTTATAATTAAAATTATTATTTATTATTAAATATATACCCTAAATTGTGCCCTTTTTAAGCTATTTGTAATCATTGAAATATTTTAGAGCTCTTTTTATTAAATTACCCTTAAAAATTAAGAGTTAAATCTTAGATTAATTGGCAAAGTCATCATATTAAATTATTAATAATTATTATATATTAGATCTTATTCAGAATTTTTATTATGTTCCAAATAAGCATTTATTTTATAAATCTTCATAGTCTTCTAAATCCAAGCCTTCGTTATTATAAAATTTGTAATAAGAAATATGATAATGTTTATTATGTTAATAATGATAGAATTAGAATGGAATTTAAGGATGATTTAATATATAATATATTATCAATAATTTTAATAACAATCATGAATATCTTAAATCAAAAATAAGCACAAGAATAATAGGAAACAATATGCAAAATGCATAATTTAGATTTAATTGCAGTTGACATGGACTTATCAGATTAAGCAAAAATTCAATTCTTTTGTGGTACATGTCTAGTTGAAAAGATTAATAACTATAAAGTGACTACAATAGAGTAATCAAAAAAGAGAATATAATAAATAAAGAAATAATAATAAGAAATTAGAACTAAAGAGAATCAAGCAAGACTCACTTATTATAAAAATATATTAGATCAAATTATGAATTTTAAATAATCTATTGATGATTCTTTGGATAAGATATATAAATAAATATAATAGTACATATATCCAATTTAAAAAGAAAAATAAGAATTATAAGATTATAATTTATAATTAAATTACTTTGAAGATGTTTAATAATTNAAATTTTATATTATTTATTTAAAAAAGTTATTTTAAATAAATTAAATCTTAATTACTCAAGATTATGCTAATATCATTATTGGATAATTAAATATTTAAGCATAGTCATTTATATACAAATATTCTCCACTGATATTGGTTAATTGACAGTAAGGGTATTTAACAGTTATTCTGTTGTTTTTCTTCTAATTCTCTAATAAGCTTTTGCAAAATGTAGATTTATTTTATGAGAAAAAAACCATTTATTATTATTTTATTTTTATAATTAAAATTATTATTTATTATTAAATATATACCCTAAATTGTGCCCTTTTTAAGCTATTTGTAATCATTGAAATATTTTAGAGCTCTTTTTATTAAATTACCCTTAAAAATTAAGAGTTAAATCTTAGATTAATTGGCAAAGTCATCATATTAAATTATTAATAATTATTATATATTAGATCTTATTCAGAATTTTTATTATGTTCCAAATAAGCATTTATTTTATAAATCTTCATAGTCTTCTAAATCCAAGCCTTCGTTATTATAAAATTTGTAATAAGAAATATGATAATGTTTATTATGTTAATAATGATAGAATTAGAATGGAATTTAAGGATGATTTAATATATAATATATTATCAATAATTTTAATAACAATCATGAATATCTTAAATCAAAAATAAGCACAAGAATAATAGGAAACAATATGCAAAATGCATAATTTAGATTTAATTGCAGTTGACATGGACTTATCAGATTAAGCAAAAATTCAATTCTTTTGTGGTACATGTCTAGTTGAAAAGATTAATAACTATAAAGTGACTACAATAGAGTAATCAAAAAAGAGAATATAATAAATAAAGAAATAATAATAAGAAATTAGAACTAAAGAGAATCAAGCAAGACTCACTTATTATAAAAATATATTAGATCAAATTATGAATTTTAAATAATCTATTGATGATTCTTTGGATAAGATATATAAATAAATATAATAGTACATATATCCAATTTAAAAAGAAAAATAAGAATTATAAGATTATAATTTATAATTAAATTACTTTGAAGATGTTTAATAATTGTCAGAATTATATACTTAAAATTAAGAATAATCAATGAAATTATAAGAAGATAATAATTTTATTGATGAAATATCAAAACAATTCGAATTATTATTGAATTCTTCTGAATATTCTTAGACTTTAGAATTGTTTAAGAATACAAAAGAAACAATAAAAGATTTGAAAGTAAATAATGTAATTGATTTATTTCCATTCATTAAAAATAAATAAAATGAATTTGTATTTTTATTTAATATTAATAAAAAACACCAAGCTTAAATAGAATTTGTAATAATCATAAAAAAGAAATAATTATGATTGATATGGATTCATAAAATAAAAAAATTGAAGATAGATTAGTTTGTGTTGATTGTATTGCAGAAAACCCGTTAATTAAATATTAAACTATTCAAAACGTAGATAACTAATGGAAAGAATAAAATTCATTATCTGAAAATTGTTTAATTGAACTTAAAATGGAAAGTAAAATTAAAAAATCAGAATTATTAAATTAAATAGCATAAATGAGAAAGAATTATAATAAAAAATTGAATGAAATTAGTGATAAATTAATTTCAGAATAATATTTATGTAATGATTAGATCAAAGAATCTAATCGAATTAAGAGAACTTCTATTAAAGTATTGGATAATGAATAATTGATAAAAGATCTAAAATAATTGATTGAATAAGAAAAGGAAAATGAAAAAGTTCCATAAAACTAAATAATTAAAGATATAAAAAATAAGGATTCCATATTCAAAAAAGACTTAGAATATCATTTAGAATCATTAAAATAACATTATTAATAAGATATTTAATAGTCACTGGATATTCTAAAGGAAATTTCAAGTATTTATTTATTTATATTTAAATAGAAGAAAGTAATCTATTAACAAAGTTATCTGAAATGATTTAATAAATTGAAAAAAGTCACTAAAAAGATGATAATTATTAAAATTAAATTAATATTATTAAAGAAATATAAGAATTAGTTGATGATGCAAAAATGTATTAATGCTAAACAAATCTATTTGAGTAGACTAAAAAGTTTTATTAATCAATTAAATATAAGATAGAATTGATTTAATAAAATATTAAATTAAAATCAAAAGAAAATTAAACGGAATCAAAATCTTAATTACTACAATCTTAATATTCAAATATATAAAATATTTTAAATGAGTATTAAACTATTTTTGAAAATAATAGTATTTAAATGAAAAAATATTGTAATATTAAATAAATGGAGGATGATTTAATTAAATTAACAGAAAATAATAATAAATTAGAGATTGAAAGTAATATTCTATAATAATAAATAGAAAATAATTTTATTAATTCTATTTAAAAGTAATTGGAGCAAAAACTCAATGAGATCAATAGTAAATTAGAAATTAAAGATAAAGAATAAAAAGATATAAAAGTATAATATGATTTAGCAATTAAAGATAATATAAATATGAAAAATTAATATGAATAGGAAAAATTGACAATGATTAAGAAATTCTAAGATGAATGTATTAGATTTTCATATTATTCAATAGAAAACAAATTGAAATAGGAATTAAATCAAAATATAAATTAAAAAAATTTAGAATTATAAGAAGCATAAAAGAAACTTGATTAAATTAATAAAGATAAGTTAGAATAAGATAAATTCAATAAAATGTAATTAGAAAAAGTAAAAAAATATAATTAAATGATAATTTTTAGATTCAATTGTATTAGAAATCATTATCATTTTCAAATGCTTATAAAAATGGAAACTGTTAAGTTACTGAAGGTGGAAAAGTTGTGGCAGATGTTGGTAATAGTAGTTGGAGTTATTGTCTTTGTGAATAAGCAATTCCAAAGACTGGAAAAATATAGTTTGCTTTTTAAATACTTAATGGATCAGCTTTTATGGTTGGAATAGGATTTAGAGAGATTATGTAAAAACATAATTATTATTAGTGTTATTAACCTGGTTATGGGTATATTATCATATTATAATAGAACATATTTAATAGAAAATAATTGTACTATTTTTTCTTATCATAACAAAGATTTGTTTCTTAAAAAATTCTCATTTTAATTTACAAATAATGAGATAATAAAAATCGAAGTATGTATTGAAAATAAATACATTAAATGGAGTAGATATAATAATCCATAATTAATGTTTGTTGTAAATGTTTAATCAATTATTAGTAGTTAGATATAGATACATCATAAGAACTATATCCATGTGTGGGTGTGAGTGGTTAATCTAAAATACAATTATTAGAAAATATACCATTTTGATACTAGAAATTAATATTAATTTTACTTAAAAATTAATTTTTTCAATTAATTTGTAATAAACATAAAAAAAATTTTTTTAAATTAAAGTTATATTCTATCATAATTATTAACTTTAAAATAATAGCTTATTTGTAAGACAATATTTAAATAACTTGGTTCAAGATTAAAGGCGCAGTTAAATTGTTAAGAAATCTTATGATACCATTTAACAGAAATTCGATTTCAGAGATAAAGGTTAATAAGGCAACGAAAAATTTTAAATCTCCTCTACTATTTTCTGTGATAATTTATGATGTTATTTTTCTTTTGATATAGCCCATTAAAATTAAAATTCAACAGCATATCATGAATTATGTCGTTGCTGACTGGATTTCTTTCATATTACTAAAACTAAATTACTCCAAGTTTAATATTTGAAACTATGGAACACAGATTCTTTAGTCGTATATTCTATCCATCTTATTTACAACTTTGATAATTTCAATGCCTGAAGAAATTTCTATTATTAATCGTATATCAATATGATAAGAGTTATTATTAAATAATCTCAATTATAAATCTAACTAAATAATTAATAAATTTCAGTTACAGATATTATTTGAGAATATTAATATATTAAATAAATTTTATCTCAAGATGAAAATCTTTATTTAAAACTACATTTGATTAGAATTATTTATTACTGGGATTATATGGTATTTCATTAATATTTTCTAATTTTATTAATGTACTTTAAAAATAACTGTTCAACAATATTAGGCAATGTATCAGAAAATTATTTTTTTAATGATAGACTATATTTTCAAGAAAGCTTACATTATTTGAATACTACGCCAGTAGTATTAGAAATTACAAAGATCATTAAAAGACATTTAGAGACTAGAAAAAGATAATTTTATCTTGTTCCTCAAATAGTAATATAAGTTTATCGATAAATAAATAAGGATTTGCAATTTGTTGAATTAACAAATTTTTCTAATGGTAACAAGTAGTGCTAAAAATCTGAATCAAAAATGAATTTAAGTCTTAATAATTTGAACAATCAAAAGACAATTGACAATAAACATCATCTCCAAAGATATATTCCTCAGCAAGATCTGTTTCTGTTCCTTCCTAATCTTCAAAAGTTTCAAGCCCATTCTTATGCCTGCTTAATTGCTCACTTACTCCTTCTATTTTTCCATCAATAGATGTGGATGGAGAAATTTGTGGGGAATTTGTGCGACTTAATTACACTGCTTATAAGATCACCAGATAATTATAAAATTAAAGAAATTTTTACAAATTAGTATTTTTCTTAGATTTATGTAAGAAATTGAGAAAGTTATTCAAATGTTTCGATTTGTAAATATATATATAACAAAAATTTTAATGGTATAGAGATTAATTAAGGGGAATGTAACTTATAATATTTAAATTTATATTAATAAGATTACTAATCTTAAGAAATATTATTGTTTATAATAGAATTGATAATTTTTAAGCATTCATATTACAGATTAAATTTTAATTTCAAAGTAAGAAAGTAAATTAGTTAAAATCTTGGTGTTTTCAATCTCCTAAACTCTAAATAAATAAGATTTTTCTAAAATTTTGTTTGGAGATATTATATTTACTTTCTATCATTAATCCTACTTGAGAACAGATGAAGGATAATAGAATAAACTTTAGTATTTTTGTTATTAGTTGATAAACCCATGAAATGAGTTAAGTCTTTAATTGTCAAATTAAAATCTTATCAGGATAAAGAAAAGAACAAGCAAGACGATATTATTCATAAATATGCTCTATTTCTGTAGAGAATTTTGTTGATGAAAAATAATTAATTGAGGATTGGTACCCAAATTTTAACTCTACCAAATCTGGTACAGAGAAGTCAAACAATTGCATTATTAAGGAGAGAGTATTGATTGGAAAGTCATTAAGGAATATTCTTGCAAAAAGTAGATTGTATCAGATCAGAAAAATTGTTGTCTTGATTTTTTGCAATTCAAAAAGTGAATTGGCTTCATTCAGGCTACATAAGGCAAAATAGCATTTAAGAATTTTTAAAATAATGAAAAATCTAAAAATATTGAAAATTGATTAATAATAATAATCTCAAGTAAATTCAGTATTGATCAAATAAATTATAGATTTATAGAAAATAAATATTTAAGGCAAAAATAATTGATGGAGTGATATGGAAGTTACAATTAGCTAAAAATTGGTTTATGTTCATGATACTGGATTATTTCCCAGTTAAAGTTCTAGATTATTTTTACCTAATTCTTACTCTACTTTTAAGAGATTCATTCAATTCCTGAGGTGGAATGAGAACATTGTATTATGATAAGTGCAGAGAGAATAAATGAAATAGATGAAAGAAACCTAAGTGGAGTTAATAATTAGTGAAGTATGTTGGAAAAGATATAAGAAATAAAAAAGTACATCCTAGGTTTCTAGAAGATTTTAAAATTAAATACTTACATTTACTTTCAAAAATAATGAAAAAAGATAATATAACAAGCAAGAAGCAAGAGTAGTTTTGATAGAAGAAGAGGAAAGTTAAACTTCTAAACACCAGAATTTAATTAGAGTTGAGTATGATTCTAAATTTTTCACCAGACTTTATGTAACATATCTATTTAAGTTTCAGTGAAAATCTATGAAAGATTAATCACATTATGCATAGTTTCGTAATTTGTAGTTCATCGATGATATATTTTATCAACTTCTTATTTATTTTGTATCAGTCCCCTAATTTTTTTCTGATGTTTTAAAGAGATATTGACTTGACTTTGTCCATGAAATATAAAATCAATATTCTTACTGATAGGGATTAGTATTATGTATCTTTCATGTTGGATTATCTTATTAATTGTAGATGCAGCTGGTTTGATGTATTTGAAACCTATCTATAATAGCCCCTAACACCTTCTTTTTATCCAAAATGTTGAAATTTAAAAGATTAGGTTAAAATTAATAGATGTAGTTATCGGTTGGGTTTGGGTTTGGGGTTGGGGTT